TCACATCATCAAAGCCAGTATGCATAACTGCGAACTAGGTAGACTAAAAGATCAAAGGACATTGCAGTGCTTGAAAATTGAATGATCTTTTAGGGAAATCTTTTCCACATATTTTAGGAGAGTAGTGAGATTACGACAGTAAATTACAATGAGTAATTTACATCCTTTTACCTTGAACAGGATAAGTGTTTTATGACGATAACCATCCCTTTTCGCCACCCTAGCTAATAACAAAATAAGCTTATTATCTCGATCAACAAAAGAATAGAAACTGTCTGCACGTAAGCGCTTCTATTTTCTCCCTTTAACCCCTACTCAAGAATTCATCTCGTGTTAAAGGAAAAGCCCATCGCCAAATTAAGCAGCACAAATTCCACTTGAAATCTTGGTTTTCAACAAACGACTCAAGCTTGAAAGTACCTCGATTTCGTAGAATCGTAGCACATCCTTCATCGAATTCAAGATGTCAGCTGGAGATGAGTAGTAATAGGCATAATTCTTGTATTCAGCTTTCTTGTTCTTGAACTGCTCCAAGAGATCACCGTTTTTGTCTGTAAATGTCTCTTGTGGCATAACTTCCAAAAGGAAAAGGATAGTGCATCTTTACCGAGAAATAGAAGTCGTGGAATGTATTTGCCATCTGGCCGGTATTCCTCCTCGAAGGGCTCTTCATCATCTTCAGTGTTTACCATAATGAAATACTCGGACAACTTTTTGAATGCTTTGCGAGCATTCGATTGTTGGAAGGTTTTCTTCAAGGCTAAAATGTCAAGGGAATTTGATTGAAATGTACAGATGTTCTTTATTTATACGTAAAGTAAAGCTAAGGAGATACGATATATAATTAGATGTAATTAGTCAATCCATCATTATATCTAGCAGTTGATACGATCGGGCACAAGCTGTAAATGAGAGGTTATAGAGACATGCCCATCCTTAGTTGCGAAGTCAGCCTTGTCTAGTGTTATGTGACCTATCCTTTAGTTGCAGAATAAGAAACCTTAGAATTCATAGAATATGAAAAATGGTTATGCTACTAACCCTGACAATATCAGTAGTCAAGTATTTTTCTCGAAATTCTAGAGGCATTTT